CACCGAGCTCACCGTCGACCTGCTAGAGGAGCGCCTCACTGCGGCTGAGAAGAGTATCGTTGCTGTAGGTGCTTCTCGCGGCGACCCTCACGCCCCTTTCTTTGAGGGGTGTTCCCCTGTCCCCCTTCTCCCCTCTGTTGCTTCTGCTGCTGCTGTGGACCTTGTTCGCACTGAGGAGGTCGGGCTTGCTTCTGCTCCTAGTGAGAGGCGCCGCACCAGCAAGGGCAAGGGGGGCAAGGGTGGTGGAGGGGACGGTGGGGGCGGCGGTGGAGGCGGTGGAGGAGGCGGAGGGGGTGGCGGTGGAGGTGGGGGTGGTGGCGGGAGTGGGGGCTTAGGTGGCGGCGGTGGTGGTGGTGGAGGTAGCGGCAGCGGTGGTGGAGGCAGCGGCAGCGGCGGTGGAGGCAGCGGCAGCGGTGGTGGAGGTGGCGGCGGCGGTGGAGCTGGTCAAGATGGAGCCGCGCAGTGTGGAGGATCTGGTGGTAGCCAGTGCCAGCAGCAGCCACGTTCCCGAGAGACCCCGTTGGCCCAGCAGCTTCGTGAGTGGTACGCTGGGCGTGGGAGGTCTGGGGGTGTTGGTCCCTGCACTTACGTTCTTCGCACCGGAGGGCGCCGTGGGGAGACGTGCGGGCTGCCACACACTGCGCAGCGCTGCTTCGGTCGCCTGACTGACGCTGGCGCGCCCAGTTTCCTGACGCTGTTGAGCTCCCTCGCTGGGGTGATCTGCTTAGGCAGAATGTTGCTATCTTTGATCTTGATTTCGATGCTATCCTTGCTGCCATGTATGCTGTGACTGATAGTGCTGAGGGTGATTTTTACCTGTGTGTTACACCTGACCCGGGCATTGAGGCTGCTGCTCTAGGTGCTAGTGCGTCTGCTGCTCCAGGTACTGGTGAGTCTGCTGCTCCAGGTACCAGTGAGTCTGCTGCTCCAGGAACCAGTGAGTCTGCTGCTCCAGTACCAGTCTCTCTCTAGTACTGCACCTACTGAGTCTTTGCACACTTTCACACTTGACTCTGGTACTTCGCGCTCCTTCTTTCGCGACAGCACCACACTCACGCAGCTCAGTCGGCCTGTCGCAGTCTCCTTGGCTGACCCTGTCAGAGGTCCACTGGTGATCCCCGATTGATCCTAGGGAAGGGTTACAGGCTCGTTGTCCTGGGGGGTTATGGGCGCACTCACCCGCTACTTAACAAGCCCTTTTATCCCAGTGGTCTAGTGGTTGGGATTCTGACATGGTATCAGAGCGAAGGTCTTGGGTTCGAATCCCAGTGTGTGCACTTCGGGCATCCCAGTGCGGGGTGGTGTTAGAGGTCCACTGGTGATCCCCGATTGACCCTAGGGAAGGGTTACATGCTCGTTGTCCTGGGGGGTTATGGGCGCACTGACCCGCTACTTAACAAGCCCTTTTATCCCAGTGATCAAGTGGTTGGGATTCTGACAAACCCCTTTGGGGGGCCCTATCCTTGCGCACTCTTCCACGGTTCTACCGTGTCCTGCGGCCCCATTGGGCTTGCTGTCGGGACTCCACCTCCCCTCGTTCTCTACGAACTTGGTGAGTGGAGCTGACCTCTAGGATGCGTGGGTTGACCAGTTCACCCCTGGAGGTCAGCGTGTGACCCACTGCACTTGCTCTCGGACGGGCCGCCACCTGGCCACGTTCACCCGTCGGCCTGGGTCGAGTCTGTACACACTGACTTCTGCGTCTCCTCCGGTTACTGCGTCTGGTCAGGTAGCCGCGTCTGGTCAGGTGTTTACTGCCGCGTCCAGGTCTAGTCCAGTATCTGCCCCCTGCTCGTGTCGTCCTCTGTCACACGAGACTCTCCTCTGGCACCACCTCCTTGGTCACCCCTCCCTGCCTCGTCTTCGAGGTATGGCCTCCCGTACCCTTGTCTCTGGTCTCCCCAGATCCCTCCCTCCCCTTCCTCCGGGGCCTGCCCCTACCTGTGTTCCTTGTGTCGAGGGCTGGCAGCGCGCCGCTCCTCACTCCTCCGAGTTCCCTCCGACAGAGGCTCCCCTGCAGACTCTCCACATGGACGTGTGGGGCCCAGCCCGCGTCCGTGGACAGGGTCACGAGCGTTACTTCCTGCTGGTCGTTGATGACTACTCGCGTTACACCACAGTCTCCCCCTTGCGCCGCAAGGGTGAGGTCACTGAGGTGTTGATCGGCTGGATCCGCGGTGCCCGTCGCCAGCTCAGCGAGAGTTTCGGCTCGGACCTTCCTGTTCTGCGTCTGCACTCAGACAGAGGTGGTGAGTTTTCCTTCAACCTTCTGAGGGCTTTCTGTCGTGCGGAGGGCATCCGCCAGACGTTCACGCTTCCGGCCTCCCCACAGCAAAATGGGATTGCTGAGCGCCGCATTGGCATGGTCATGGACGTCGCTCGTACGTCCATGATCCATGCGGCTGCTCCCCATTTTCTGTGGCCGTTCGCGGTTCAGTACGCTGCGCATCATATCAACCTTCAGCATTGTGTCTCCTTGCCGGAGACCACACCTACTCTGCGGTGGACGGGGAAGGTTAGCGATGCATCTGTGTTCCGTGTCTGGGGATCTCGAGCCTTTGTCCGCGATACTTCCGCGGACAAGCTGTCCTCCCGTGCCGTTCCCTGCGTCTTCCTTGGCTTCCCCCCTGACGCACCTGGGTGGCAGTTTTACCACCCCACCTCGCGTCGTGTTGTGTCCTCTCAGGACTTCACGTTTGACGAGTCAGTCTCCTACTACCGTCTCTTTCCCTACCGCAGAGCCTCTCTCTCCCCCCCGCCCCTCTTCCTAACACCAGGTGCTCCTCCGGTAGACCCCCTCCCCCCTCAGGGTCCTGCCCCCTCATGTGTGTCCCAGGTAGCTGTCAACTCTGGTGCTGCTATGGGTGCTGAGCCTGCGGGTGCGGGGCCTGGGGGTGCTGAGCCTGGGGTTGCTGAGTCTGGGGGTGCTGAGCCTGAGCTTGTGGAGCCTGGGGGTGCTGAGCCTGGGGGTGCTGAGTCTGAGCGTGCTGAGTCTGGAGGTCCTCCGGGTGTCCCGTCACGGCGGGAGCCCCTCTCTCCGCAGCGGCTCCGTGAGTGGTATGCTCAGCGCTATCGCTGTGCTGCTGGAGCTATGGGGCCTGCTGCTGGAGGTGCTTTTGGGGCTGGAGCTGCTGGAGGTACTGCTGGTGCTGGAGCTGCTGGTGCTGGAGGTACTGGCGCTGTTGGAGGTCCTACTGGTGTTGGAGCTGCTGGAGGTGCTGGAGCAGCTGGTCCCTGAGGTGCTCGTACTGGAGGTACTGGAGCTGTTGGGGCTGGTGGTGCTGCAGGAGTTGGAGCTGCTGGTGCTGGAGGTCCTGCTGGTGTTGGAGGTCCTGCTGGTGTTGGAGCTGCTGGAGGTACTGGAGCTGCTGGAGCTGGTGGTGCTGCAGGAGTTAGAGCTGTAGGTGCTGGAGCTGTTGCTACTGGAGGTGCTGCTGGAACTGGAGCTGCTGGAGGTACTTGAGCTGGTGGTGCCCCGGGAGTTGTAGCTCGAGACCCTGGAGCTGAGGGTACTGGTGCTGTCTCTGCTGTTTTTGGAGGCGCTGCGCGGCCGCGGCCATGCTACGTTTTGCTTCTTCAGCAGGTTCTTGGTCTCCCGCCTTCTACTGGTCCTACTCCTCCCTTACTGAGTCCACTGCCTGTCCAGTCACAGTCACAGTTACAGCCAGCCTCTCCACTGCCTGGACCTTCTCCATACATTGGACCAGCTAGAGGTCTTACGGAGCGTCGTGAGCCTGAGTCTCGTCGGGATGTCTGGTGCATCCGGGTCTCCCTCAGGGGCAAGCAGCATGGAAGCAAAACGAGGTACAGCAGCTGCAAGACACTCAAAGTCCTCCTGCCTGTCCTCAAGGACGTCCGTGCCAAGAGCATACTCACCCCCAATGGACGGAGGACTGGCAGATGCAGACTCAGCAACAAGCGCAGTGGCGTAGTCTAGACGACAGGCAGCAACAAAGTCAAGCAGACGCAGTAGCAGACTCAAAGGAAGGGTCAGTTTCAGAAGTGGCGAGGGGACGAGAGACAGTGGGACTCGCAGCACGAGTGCGGTCAGACTGGGTTAGGGACCGCAGGAAGAGAGGACTCGGGAGGAGCAGGTAGAGGAACACGCTGTGGAACAGAGGAAGGACGAAGTGCCATAGCGTGCATGCCGAGGACAGGATGAGGACGCGAACGAGGAACACGACGAGCTGTGCGAAGCTGGCCACGCTGCTGCAACTCTTGTGCAAGAAAGTATCGCACAGCGATGTGCTTTGTTCTTTGCTCCAGTCTGTGCTCCTGACACAAGGCAATCATGGCCTTGTTGTCTACATACAGAACTGGAGGCGAACGAGGCTGCTCTCCCAAGTCAGACAGCAGGTAGGTGAGCCAGCGTAGCTCCTGTGCAGCCATGGCCCCTGCGTAGATCTCTGCCTCACAACTGGAGCTGAGAACCATAGACGAGCGGGTAGACCGCCAGGAAACAGAGCCGGAACCAAGGCTGAAGGTGTAACCCTGTGATGACCGCTGCGTAGTTGAGTCGTCAACCCAAGAAGCGTCTGCGTGACCAGTGAGGACAACTGGACCCCGTCCTCCAAGCACGAGCCTCATGCCCGACGTACTGCACAAGTAACGCAGTACCTTCTTCGCAGCATCCCAGTGCACCTTTCGGTGCCTATCGGGAGCCACGTAGCGAGCCAGAAGGCTGAGAGGGTACGCGAGGTCAGGTCGTGTGCACGTCATCAGGTACATGAGGCAACCCACAAGCTCTGGGTATGGACCACTCGGCTCTACGGACTCGTCCGAAGGTGGAGCTGAGAGCGAGTGGCCGGTAGACAGAGGAGTGGGCTGTGGCGAGGAGAACTGGAAGCCGAAGCGCTGAAGGACCTGGTGCACCATGTGTGACTGAGTCAGGGTGATGGTGTGCCGTGCTCTGTCCCGGGTGATCTGCAAGCCAAGATAGCTACGCAGTTCACCCAGGTCAGTGCAGATGTGTCGCTTCTGTAGCTCCGACTTCACAAGGGTCAGTGCCTCGGTGTCAGCAGTGGCAAAGATGAGGTCGTCAACGTAGATGAGGACGTAGAAGGGCGGTAGCGAGGTGTCGGTGCGTAGAAACAGCGACGGGTGAGCAGTAGAAAAGCAAACCCAAAACCCGTAGAAACGGCCGACGGGGCCGCGGGCCGACGGGGCCGCGGGCCGCCGGGGCCGGGGCGCGCGGGCCGCGGGCCGACGGGGCCGCGGGCCGACGGGGCCGCGGGCCGCCGGGGCCGGGGCGCGCGGGCCGCGGGCCGACGGGGCCGCGGGCCGACGGGGCCGGGGCCGGGGCGCGCGGGCCGCGGGCCGACGTCGGGCCGCGGGCCGACGGGGCCGGGGCCGGGGCGCGCGGGCCGCGGGCCGACGTCGGGCCGCGGGCCGACGGGGCCGGGGCCGGGGCGCGCGGGCCGCGGGCCGACGTCGGGCCGCGGGCCGACGGGGCCGGGGCCGGGGCGCGCGGGCCGCGGGCCGACGTCGGGCCGCGGGCCGACGGGGCCGGGGCCGGGGCGCGCGGGCCGCGGGCCGACGTCGGGCCGCGGGCCGACGGGGCCGGGGCCGGGGCGCGCGGGCCGCGGGCCGACGTCGGGCCGCGGGCCGACGGGGCCGGGGCCGGGGCGCGCGGGCCGCGGGCCGACGTCGGGCCGCGGGCCGACGGGGCCGGGGCCGGGGCGCGCGGGCCGCGGGCCGACGTCGGGCCGCGGGCCGACGGGGCCGGGGCCGGGGCGCGCGGGCCGCGGGCCGACGTCGGGCCGCGGGCCGACGGGGCCGGGGCCGGGGCGCGCGGGCCGCGGGCCGACGTCGGGCCGCGGGCCGACGGGGCCGGGGCCGGGGCGCGCGGGCCGCGGGCCGACGTCGGGCCGCGGGCCGACGGGGCCGGGGCCGGGGCGCGCGGGCCGCGGGCCGACGTCGGGCCGCGGGCCGACGTCGGGCCGCGGGCCGACGGGGCCGGGGCCGGGGCGCGCGGGCCGCGGGCCGACGTCGGGCCGCGGGCCGACGTCGGGCCGCGGGCCGACGGGGCCGGGGCCGGGGCGCGCGGGCCGCGGGCCGACGTCGGGCCGCGGGCCGACGTCGGGCCGCGGGCCGACGGGGCCGGGGCCGGGGCGCGCGGGCCGCGGGCCGACGTCGGGCCGCGGGCCGACGTCGGGCCGCGGGCCGACGGGGCCGGGGCCGGGGCGCGCGGGCCGCGGGCCGACGTCGGGCCGCGGGCCGACGTCGGGCCGCGGGCCGCCGGGGCGCGCGGGCCGCGGGCCGACGTCGGGCCGCGGGCCGACGTCGGGCCGCGGGCCGACGGGGCCGGGGCCGGGGCGCGCGGGCCGCGGGCCGACGTCGGGCCGCGGGCCGACGTCGGGCCGCGGGCCGACGGGGCCGGGGCCGGGGCGCGCGGGCCGCGGGCCGACGTCGGGCCGCGGGCCGACGTCGGGCCGCGGGCCGACGGGGCCGGGGCCGGGGCGCGCGGGCCGCGGGCCGACGTCGGGCCGCGGGCCGACGTCGGGCCGCGGGCCGACGGGGCCGGGGCCGGGGCGCGCGGGCCGCGGGCCGACGTCGGGCCGCGGGCCGACGTCGGGCCGCGGGCCGACGGGGCCGGGGCCGGGGCGCGCGGGCCGCGGGCCGACGTCGGGCCGCGGGCCGACGTCGGGCCGCGGGCCGACGGGGCCGGGGCCGGGGCGCGCGGGCCGCGGGCCGACGTCGGGCCGCGGGCCGACGGGGCCGGGGCCGGGGCGCGCGGGCCGCGGGCCGACGTCGGGCCGCGGGCCGACGGGGCCGGGGCCGGGGCGCGCGGGCCGCGGGCCGACGTCGGGCCGCGGGCCGACGTCGGGCCGCGGGCCGACGGGGCCGGGGCCGGGGCGCGCGGGCCGCGGGCCGACGTCGGGCCGCGGGCCGACGTCGGGCCGCGGGCCGACGGGGCCGGGGCCGGGGCGCGCGGGCCGCGGGCCGACGTCGGGCCGCGGGCCGACGTCGGGCCGCGGGCCGACGGGGCCGGGGCCGGGGCGCGCGGGCCGCGGGCCGACGTCGGGCCGCGGGCCGACGTCGGGCCGCGGGCCGACGGGGCCGGGGCCGGGGCGCGCGGGCCGCGGGCCGACGTCGGGCCGCGGGCCGACGTCGGGCCGCGGGCCGACGGGGCCGGGGCCGGGGCGCGCGGGCCGCGGGCCGACGTCGGGCCGCGGGCCGACGGGGCCGGGGCCGGGGCGCGCGGGCCGCGGGCCGACGTCGGGCCGCGGGCCGACGGGGCCGGGGCCGGGGCGCGCGGGCCGCGGGCCGACGTCGGGCCGCGGGCCGACGGGGCCGGGGCCGGGGCGCGCGGGCCGCGGGCCGACGTCGGGCCGCGGGCCGACGGGGCCGGGGCCGGGGCGCGCGGGCCGCGGGCCGACGTCGGGCCGCGGGCCGACGGGGCCGGGGCCGGGGCGCGCGGGCCGCGGGCCGACGTCGGGCCGCGGGCCGACGGGGCCGGGGCCGGGGCGCGCGGGCCGCGGGCCGACGTCGGGCCGCGGGCCGACGGGGCCGGGGCCGGGGCGCGCGGGCCGCGGGCCGACGTCGGGCCGCGGGCCGACGGGGCCGGGGCCGGGGCGCGCGGGCCGCGGGCCGACGTCGGGCCGCGGGCCGACGGGGCCGGGGCCGGGGCGCGCGGGCCGCGGGCCGACGTCGGGCCGCGGGCCGACGGGGCCGGGGCCGGGGCGCGCGGGCCGCGGGCCGACGTCGGGCCGCGGGCCGACGGGGCCGGGGCCGGGGCGCGCGGGCCGCGGGCCGACGTCGGGCCGCGGGCCGACGGGGCCGGGGCCGGGGCGCGCGGGCCGCGGGCCGACGTCGGGCCGCGGGCCGACGGGGCCGGGGCCGGGGCGCGCGGGCCGCGGGCCGACGTCGGGCCGCGGGCCGACGGGGCCGGGGCCGGGGCGCGCGGGCCGCGGGCCGACGTCGGGCCGCGGGCCGACGGGGCCGGGGCCGGGGCGCGCGGGCCGCGGGCCGACGTCGGGCCGCGGGCCGACGGGGCCGGGGCCGGGGCGCGCGGGCCGCGGGCCGACGTCGGGCCGCGGGCCGACGGGGCCGGGGCCGGGGCGCGCGGGCCGCGGGCCGACGTCGGGCCGCGGGCCGACGGGGCCGGGGCCGGGGCGCGCGGGCCGCGGGCCGACGTCGGGCCGCGGGCCGACGGGGCCGGGGCCGGGGCGCGCGGGCCGCGGGCCGACGTCGGGCCGCGGGCCGACGGGGCCGGGGCCGGGGCCGGGGCGCGCGGGCCGCGGGCCGACGTCGGGCCGCGGGCCGACGGGGCCGGGGCCGGGGCGCGCGGGCCGCGGGCCGACGTCGGGCCGCGGGCCGACGGGGCCGGGGCCGGGGCGCGCGGGCCGCGGGCCGACGTCGGGCCGCGGGCCGACGGGGCCGGGGCCGGGGCGCGCGGGCCGCGGGCCGACGTCGGGCCGCGGGCCGACGGGGCCGGGGCCGGGGCGCGCGGGCCGCGGGCCGACGTCGGGCCGCGGGCCGACGGGGCCGGGGCCGGGGCGCGCGGGCCGCGGGCCGACGGGGCCGGGGCCGGGGCGCGCGGGCCGCGGGCCGACGTCGGGCCGCGGGCCGACGGGGCCGGGGCCGGGGCGCGCGGGCCGCGGGCCGACGTCGGGCCGCGGGCCGACGGGGCCGGGGCCGGGGCGCGCGGGCCGCGGGCCGACGTCGGGCCGCGGGCCGACGGGGCCGGGGCCGGGGCGCGCGGGCCGCGGGCCGACGTCGGGCCGCGGGCCGACGGGGCCGGGGCCGGGGCGCGCGGGCCGCGGGCCGACGTCGGGCCGCGGGCCGACGGGGCCGGGGCCGGGGCGCGCGGGCCGCGGGCCGACGTCGGGCCGCGGGCCGACGGGGCCGGGGCCGGGGCGCGCGGGCCGCGGGCCGACGTCGGGCCGCGGGCCGACGGGGCCGGGGCCGGGGCGCGCGGGCCGCGGGCCGACGTCGGGCCGCGGGCCGACGGGGCCGGGGCCGGGGCGCGCGGGCCGCGGGCCGACGTCGGGCCGCGGGCCGACGGGGCCGGGGCCGGGGCGCGCGGGCCGACGGGGCCGGGGCCGGGGCCGGGGCCGGGGCCGGGGCGCGCGGGCCGCGGGCCGACAGTGCCGGGGCGCGCGGGCCGCGGGCCGACGGGGCCGGGGCCTGGGCGCGCGGGCCGCGGGCCGCGGGCCGACGGGGCCGGGGCCGGGGCCGGGGCGCGCGGGATCGACGGGGCCGGGGCCGGAGCGCGCGGGCCGACGGGGCCGGGGCCAGGGCCGGGGCCGGGGCCGGGGCGCGCGGGCAGCGGGCCGCGGGCCGACGGGGCCGGGGCCGCGGCGCGCGGGCCGCGGGCCGCGGGCCGACGGGGCCGGGGCCGGGGCGCGCGGGCCGCGGGCCGACGGGGCCGGGGACGGGGCCGGGGCCGGGGCGCGCGGGCCGACGGGGCCGGGGACGGGGCCGGGGCCGGGGCGCGCGGGCCGAGGGCCGCGGGCCGACGGGGCCGGGGCGCGCGGGCCGCGGGCCGACGGGGCCGGGGCGCGCGGCGCGCGGGCCGCGGGCCGACGGGGCCGGGGCCGGGGCCCGCGGCCGACGGGGCTGGGGCCGGGGCCGGGGCGCGCGGGCCGACGGGGCCGGGGCGCGCGGGCCGCGGGGGTGTGGGCCAATTCATCAACCTTTCCATCACGTCTTCTCCACTTCGTCAACACAGCTTGATCGCGCATCGCGTATTCCAATACTTGGCACAAAATCAGATGAGCCAACATGATTAAATGTAGATGACATTTTCGAATGCATAAATTTAATAATTAATATTTCCCATGCTAATCAAGTTGCAATGGAATATGCATGATGTATATTTCGAATGCCTACATGTATACCCAACAAACAATGGAAAATCAAACCAGTAATATTTATATACATAAATTAAAACACAAAAATACAAAGCCCACAAAGAGTTCCAACACCGATCTGAACTTACACACAAAATGTGACATAAAATAATTAATGGAGAATTAGAACACGGCCTCTTCGGCATCGTGGAAGTGAGAAAAATGGATAAGGCAGAAAAACAATAATGTGTCATACATTAGCGTTAAACAGACTAACAACAAACACCACAAGCATATACTTACTTACCATGAAAAAAAAAACTACACCACAAAATAATTTGTTAGAAATGAGAAGTGCTCTATGACATCACAATATACTGTATATTAAAAAAAACATTCTAAATAGCTTTAATGCTTACAGCCAATACTTCAGCAGACACACAATTTTGGAAAATGTGTTGCGAAACTTGATGATGTTGTTGTAAGAGAGTACATAAAACGAACAGTGTATATGTATCAAAAATTAGAAACGCATACATTCAAATCAGAAATAGAAGCAAGCATAAAAAAGTTGAAATATTGAATAGGATATTTGTGGCACAAATATGCTTTTAATAGAATTCATTGGTGAACATAGTCAAACTTCATATTACAATTTTGGTTTGCTGAACAATCTGACACGATTTCAAGTTAAATTGTGAATCAGTTTTGGTGTTCCCTGCTGAGATGAGTAGTAGAATAAAGAAGAATATCAGTGTCCATGAGACTTTGAAAATCAAAATACAAAAAAAAATAAAAAAACGTGTGAAGCAGTAATATTAGCAAATAAGCAATTTCACAATCTTACCACAAAAAGATCAACTGGAGACTTTGAAACTCGATGCAGCCTGAAGTCCAGATGATGATGTAAACCTATTGTTGATGTCTGATAAAAGAAACTCGTTCAGGAAATAGCAAAAACAAGGAGATTATACAAAGTACAGAACATGCAACATTGCTATATTAGTATATGCAAGGAACATAGAAGTCAAAACATGTGGATAATAAATACATACAATAATTGAGCTCAACTTTCATCTAGATAGGTAAACGAGGAATTTCGACACTCTGAAAAGTGATGAGAAGTGGAGTAGCAGGAAGAGTTTGAAATAGAGTAGTTGGGGTCTACGACAAAATAATGGAAAATATGTCAATGGTAACTTACATGAGGCACTATAACGCGTACGGTAACGATTTCAACGCGTTTGGTAACTAGCTTAACGCATTTGGTAACTCGCTTAACATGTTTGGTAACTTTCTTAACGCATTTGGTAACTCAACACTAGCAGCCCATCACGCGAATGGTAATTACATGAAATTCCCGCCGAAATTGAGCCTGATTTTGGTTTTTCCCACTCGCGTCAGAATAAATAGACGAATCCTGAAGCAGAAACCTCTAACACACTCTCTGAAATTCTGACACAGCTTTCCGAAATTCTGACACACTTTCCGAAATCCTGACACACTTTCCGAAATCCTGACACACTTTCCGAAATCCTGACACACTTTCCGATTTTCAAGCTAATTGAAAAAACGTAAGTTTTGTAAAAACAATTGTTCATAAATAATTGATATTCTGGCGCTCTTTCCGCAAACTGTTTGTAATTTATTATGTCGTACAGCCGGGGCAAACAAATCTATACCCCTTTCAGATGGCAAATAAATTTGAGAGCAACAACCCTTAACTCCTTGCGACCAGGCGTTTATGGTTCTTTATTAAAAAAAAAGAAACATGCAATTTTAAAGAGGTGTATTGTTCCCACATGCAAAAATTCTCCAACGCTGCAGTAATTATAAAAAGTAAAAGCCTCGAGGTCCTTTCGGGAAATATTTTTTATCGTTTTGCAAGTTCGCAACCATACTATCAAAAAAAAGATTTTAACCTTTTTTGTACGAGCTACATATATATATATATATATAAAACTGCTCTGAAACATTTCGGTCCGTGGTAATAGAACAAACGGGGTCCTTCAAGTTCGCGGCGGGACTTGTTGAGAATGATAATACTGTGCGTAAAGGCTTTTAAACTCGATAAATTCCTCTTCGTCAGGATCATTTCGGCGAGAATTTCATGTAGTTACCATTCGCGTGATGGGCTGCTAGTATAGAGTTACCAAATGCGTTAAGCGAGTTACCAAACGTGTTAAGCGAGTTACCAAACGCGTTAAGCGAGTTACCAAACGCGTTGAAATCGTTACCGTACGCATTATAGTGCCCCATGTAAGTTACCATTGACATATTTTCCCATAAAATAACTAGATTAGAGCCTCATATCTGAGAAATTTAGAACGAGAATGAGTTGAATAAGGAATGAAAGTGATACAAATGTTAAACCCTAGAATTGTGTACCCCTTAGTATCTAACCCGCTACAGCCTACACAGGCTAGATCATATAAGTTTGACACACCCCCAAAGGCAAAGTGGGGGAGAACAAGGGGTCACAAGACCAGTCAAGCAAAGCAAGGCAAAGCAAGCTCAGGGTGGATCACAACGTCACCACACATTCTGAGCACAAGTTCAAGGCCACAAGGCCAGTTCACATGCATGAGTACACACATATATATAACGCTAAACAAACAAGAGCAGGTATATATATATGTAACAGTACAAGCAAGGTCAAGAAGTGAGCAAGTGAGGCAAGGTAGGTACAAGACCTAACAGAGTACAGAAGCGCTGATGGTCACAAGGCGCAAGTGCCTTGGTGAAGATATCAGCAGTGTTGGCCTCAGAGGCCACGTAAGCAAGGCGCCGCTGACCTCGCTGCTGCAGCTCACGAGCAAGGAAGTAGCGAAGAGCGATATGCTTCGTTCTGTGCTCCAGTCTGTGCTCCCGACACAAGGCCAGCATAGCCTTGTTGTCTACGTACAGAACTGGAGGAGAACGAGGCTGCTCTCCTAGGTCAGTCAGCAGGTAGGTGAGCCAGCGTAGCTCCTGTGCAGCCATGGCCCCTGCGTAGATCTCAGCCTCACAACTGGAGCCGAGAACAGAAGACGAGCCGGTAGACCGCCACGAAACGGAGCCGGAACCAAGGCTGAAGGTGTAACCCTGTGACGACCACTGCGTAGCCTGGTCGTCAGCCCAAGAAGCGTCTGCGTGACCAGTGAGGACCACTGGACTCCGCCCTCCAAGCACAAGCCCCATGCTCGACGTACTGCACAAGTAGCGCAACACCCTCTTCGCTGCAGCCATGTGCTCTGGTCTGTGTCTCCCAGGAGCAACATAGCGTGCCAGAATGCTAAGAGGGTATGCAAGGTCAGGTCGAGTGCAGGTCATCAGGTACATGAGGCAGCCAACAAGCTCTGGGTACGGGCCACTCGACTCTACGGACTCATCCGAAGGCAGAGCTGAGAGCGAGTGGCGAGTAGACAGAGGAGTGGCCTGAGGCGAGGAGTACGTGAAGCCGAAGCGCTGAAGGACCTGCTGCACCATGTGTGACTGAGTCAGGGTAATGGTGCGCTGTGCTCTGTCCCGGGTGATCTGCAAGCCAAGGTAGCTGCGCAGTTCACCCAGGTCTGTGCACGTGTGTCTCTTCTGCAGCTCAGACTTCACGTGGGCGAGTCCAGCAGTGTCAGCTGTGGCAAAGACCAAGTCGTCGACGTACACGAGGATGTAGAACGGCGGCAAAGAAGTGTCGGTGCGCAGAAACAGCGACGGGTCGGCAGTAGAAGGAGCAAACCCAAGAGTCCTCAATGTGTTGTGCCACTTACGAGGTGCCAGGTGGAAAAGACCGTAGACTGGCCGCCGGAGGCTCCACTGGGTACCAGGAGGAAAAGACCCAGTGAAGCCAGGTGGGCGGCGCAGCCAGATCTCCTCGTGCAGGCTGCCCTGCAAGAAAGCAGTGCTGAAGTCAAGAGAGTGAAGCTCGTAGTCACGGTGAGCGGCTATGTGCAGCAGTACCCGAAGAGTGGTCATCTTCGGGGTGGGAGAAAAGTAGTCAACTTTCTGCCGCTGACTGAAGCCACGAGCCACGTAGCGCGCCTTGAAGACAGGCGGAGAATCCGGCGGCCGCTTCACCCTGAAAATCCACATGCCACTGACGATGTTCGCCCCAGGAGGGGGAACCTCGTCGACGTAGGTGCCTGTGGACTTCCAGGAAGCCATCTCTGCATCCATGGCTGCCTGCCACTGAGAGGAGTAGGGACCCTCTATCGCCTCCGCGTAAGAGTGCGGAGGCGGGATGTCTGGTGCATCCGGGTCTCCCTCAGGGGCAAGCAGCATGGACACGAGACGAGGTGAAGCAGCAGCAAAGCACTGGAACTCCTCCTGCCTGTCCTCAAGGACGTCCGTGCCAAGGGCACACTCACCCCCGACGGACGGAGGACAGACAGACTCAGACTCAGCGACAAGACTAGCAGCGTAGTCTAGGCGACAGCGAGCAGCGAAGTCGACAAGCTCAGAAACTAAGGCAGACGCAGCAGCGGACTCAAAGGAAGGGTCAGTGACGACAGTAGCAAGGAGACGCGTGACAGCAGGACTGGCAGCACGAAGGGAGTCCGACTCCGGGTCAGCAAGAACAGGAAGAGAGGACTCAGGAGGAAAAGGCAAAGGGGCACGCAGCGGAGCAGTGGAGGGACGCAGAGACATCCGGTGCGTGCCGGGGACAGGGGGAGGACGCTGACGCGAACCACGACTACTTGTGCGAGCAGCACGGACAGACGACGCAGGACGAGATGCAGGCTCACGACGCTCAGCAAGACCTCCAGTAGGACCAGTGTAGGGAGAAGGAGCAGGCAGAGGAGAGGTAGGCTGGAACTGTGACTCGGACTGGACAGGTGGTGGACACTCTAAGGGAGGAGCCGGACTAGCAGAGGGCGGAAGACCAAGAACCTGCTCAAGGAGCGGAACGAAGTACG